TTTTACTAACCATAATTTATGTCACTTTGAAACAAGAAAAAAAGAGGAGGGTGATGCACCAGGTCTCCTCACAGAATGTTTACTAGAAATTTTCCAAGACCGAGAAGAGAAAAATCGAACACAATACGAACTAATAAAGGGGAATGCGCATTTCAAAAAATACAAGACAGTGTATTTACTGCAATCAATGTTTGCATGACTTGTCAACTTTGTAGATCTAAATACATGAAGCTGACCAGGCAGGTGGTAATTGTGTTTCTAGCAACTTTCTACGGGGTCTCTTGTCATGAGACTCAAGAAATCGGTCTAAAGAATAGAAAGGCAGCAACCATATCTACAACGATTGCCAAGACGATAACGACGAGGACAGTTGCTATAATGTATTGTCATTATAATAATAAAGGTGGGGATGAAAACGTCACCTGACATTTTAATAGTAAAAACCCATGACATGAAACTTAATGAAGACTTTCATGTTGTTCACAACGATGACAAAAACAAGAACAAAAATCACTATGAAGACTGGGACATTAATGAATAAACCATAAATTCAATACAATATTACCACAAGCACAAAGACAGGCTACCTTGACCGGCACACAAGCAGTGACCAGCAGGAGATCAGCAGACGCCAAACTCAGAAGGAATATGTTGGTCACGTTGTGCATGCGGCGATATCTGAAGAGAGGACAGCCTCATTTTGTCAAACGGATACAAAGTCCTGCTTCTGTCTGTCTGTCTGTCTTTGGTCACGTTGTGCATGCGGCGATATCTGAAGAGAGGACAGCCTCATTTTGTCAAACGGATACAAAGTCCTGCTTCTGTCTGTTAGGTACCCTAAAATAGGTACACGCTGTAAATTCCCTATTATTTTTTTCCCGCTTTAGGCCTACATCACAAAAACGTGTCGGAACCTTAGTCTGCAGTGATCTTTATAAATGGGCTCTTAGATTCTGTTGGTCGTCCAATTTTTAAACCCGTATGCAAAGAAGATTAAACAGGCTGATTTCATTTTAATTTTATATCATTTTAGCCGAGGTCATACAAAAGTGAACAAACTATGGCAGATTTATCACTAGACGACCTACCACTTCTTGCTAGTACACACTTTTGAAGAGAGTTTGAGAGACAGTCAGGTTCGGTATTATTTAAACATTGATAGTAAACTAAAAGATAACTTTGCACACAATATGGTTTTTAATTAACTGGCGGCCAGTGTAGCTCATTTAGAAATGGGTTGGCGTGTGTTCTTTTCTTCATTTTGAAAATAGTATAGGCGCATTATTTCGGACATTTTTAAAGCAACGGAATGATTCATTCGAAATGTAAAGAGTTGCAATAATTTAATTTGGAAAGAACATATTATTATGATGTACCGAGGGGTTTTGTTAGGCATCCGACAGGTAATCTTTTATGTGCTTAATTTCCATCATTTGAAAGTAAACAATATAAATTTTACAAAGTGAGTACTTTTGAGTAGACATGAATGGATCATTACCAAAAATCACGCCTTAGTTTTGTTTTAAATTTTACTACTTTGCTCAATCTGAAGGCCAGTGCGTTAGTTTGTATTGTTTGAAGACTTGTTGTCATAATATTGACTTGTGCACTGAGCATGATCTCAAATTTATTTTAAATAAGTTTGAACTTATTGCAGTGGCATCCAGGTTTTTATCTCTTGAATACATTTAGCAGTTGGGTCCACCAAGTTGCGAATGTAGGCCTATTTTTTATTTCCAAAGATGTACATGTGATGAGTGTGGAGGTAAAGGGCTGTTCACTTGGTTTATGTGTGTGTGTGTGTGTGTGTATGTGTGTGTGTGTGTGTGTGTGTGTGTGTGTGTGTGTGTGTGTGTGTGTGTGCGCGCGCAGTCGTGTGTAATTTTGTAAAGTTTCAACTTTTTACTAACCATAATTTATGTCACTTTGAAACAAGAAAAAAAGAGGAGGGTGATGCACCAGGTCTCCTCACAGAATGTTTACTAGAAATTTTCCAAGACCGAGAAGAGAAAAATCGAACACAATACGAACTAATAAAGGGGAATGCGCATTTTAAAAAATACAAGACAGTGTATTTACTGCAATCAATGTTTGTATGACTTGTCAACTTTGTAGATCTAAATACATGAAGCTGACCAGGCAGGTGGTAATTGTGTTTCTAGCAACTTTCTACGGGGTCTCTTGTGATGAGACTCAAGAAATCGGTCTAAAGAAAAGAAAGACAGCAACCATATCTACAACGATTGCCAAGACGATAACGAAGAGGACAGTTGCTATAATTTATTGTCATTATAATAATAAAGGTGGGGATGAAAACGTCACCTGACATTTTAATAGTAAAAACCCATGACATGAAACTTAATGAAGACTTTCATGTTGTTCACAACGATGACAAAAACAAGAACAAAAATCACTATGAAGACTGGGACATTAATGAATAAACCATAAATTCAATACAATATTACCACAAGCACAAAAACAGGCTACCTTGACCGGCACACAAGCAGTGACCAGCAGGAGATCAGCAGACGCCAAACTCAGAAGGAATATGTTGGTCACGTTGTGCATGCGGCGATATCTGAAGAGAGGACAGCCTCATTTTGTCAAACGGATACAAAGTCCTGCTTCTGTCTGTCTGTCTGTCTGTCTGTCTGTGTGTCTGTCTGTGTGTCTGTCTGTCTGTCTGTGTGTCTGTCTGCCTGTCTGTCTGCCTGTCTGTCTGTCTGTCTGCCTGCCTGCCTGTCTGTCTGTCTGTCTGTCTGTCTGTCTGTCTGTCTGTCTGTCTGCCTGCCTGTCTGTCTGTCAATTTGTCTGATCTATCTATCTGTTTATCTATCTAACTATCTGTATTATATACATATTGACGAGAGAAAGCGAGAGAGAGAGAGAGAGAGAGAGAGAGAGAGAGAGAGAGAGAGAGAGAGAGAGAGAGAGAGAGAGAGAGAGAGAAAGAGAAACAGAGACAGAGACGGAGTAAAGTGCCCTGCAAACACTTGTTGGGATGGTTGTTTATAAACCCCTTAGGGTTGCCAAAGGGAATATTTTCTGGTAGCTTTTAATTCATGTGGTTCCAAATGTGACCCTGACAATGCCTGTATCGGAAATGGCAAACAAATGAAGACTTCAGAAGGGGAATACTATAAATTACAATTACGTGAATTACTTAAGTGCAACCAGTTGTCCAAAGATACAGGAAAACGGATATAGTCTTTGGTCTAAATATGAAGGAATAAAGATAGAGCTTTGTAACTTGGAACACACATACTTTCATTTCTCTACATAGTCACCATGCAGAGTTGTACATTTCTGCCACTTCTCTGTCACCTTCAAAAGTCCTTGAGAGAAAAAATGACCCAGAATGGGCCCCTAACATGTCTTCCACAGCTTCAATGGCGTCCTCGTTGACATGGAAACGACGTCCTTCCAGTGATTTTCTCAGATTAGGAAACAGAAAGAAATCTGAAGAGGCTAGGTCTGGTGAATGAGCTGGGTGTTGCAGAATTTCAAAGCCGCACTGTTCTGCTGTCTGGGCTGCTTGTTGTGCCTGTGAGCTGGGGCGTTGTCATGCAGTAGGAGGACCCCATTACGGAGTTCTCCACGCCTTATTCTGACCAATTCGGACCGCAGTTTTATCAACAAGACGGAATAGTAGTCCCCTGCGACGGTTTTTTCCATTTGCCAGATAGTCATGATGATCCCAAAAAAATAATAATCGTAATAAGAACAAAAATAATCATGATGATACATAATATTATTAATAGTATTATCATTAAAACGTTAAGCTCAACAACACTTGACGTATAAGGACTCACTTGGCCACAGAAATGATGACGAGCAGGTTCCCCGTGAGGCCGAGGACCAGAGTGAGACCGTAGCCAAGAGCGTTTGGTATGAGCTCCGTGAGAGGAATATAACTCACAGAATCGTCGTAGTTGTAGTAGTAGTCGCTGTAGTCATCGCTGGCATTGGCTACAACCAAGAGGCCAGACGCTGGAACAGGGGAAGTTCCACTGTTGTTCATTTTCGAGGTTTTTATTTGTTCAGAATTGTTTTACTCTCAGCCAGTATGCTAACAACATGCTATACGTCTGCATTACTTTGTAAACCAAAGCAGCCCTTATTCATTTTCAACCACATGTCAACCGAAAAGAAACTACCAATGCCATCGTAATATTCTCTTCTATTTCCTGTTTGGTTGTATTTTGTCACTGAGAAAATGCTACTGCATAAAACAGTGGATACGTTTGCTTCATTATACACAGTTTAGTGAAGAATTTATCTGTTTATGTTGATAGCACAGACAAAATCCAGGCAGATGTACCGTATTGTAATGTGATTGTCTTTTCTCGCATCAGTGATCAAAGGTAATCGTGCACAAATTTCAAAAAAGCTTTTCACTGTGCTTGAGAAAATCTACAACTTACCTAAGACGACATGTTTATCATTACGTTATTAACGATACGGGAAATGCCAAACATTGACGGCACAAACGGTCGCAGTCAGAAAGCAGGGGAGATATTTAAGGAATAGCAATATTTTATAACGGTTCATAAACCTTCGCTGATTTTAATTGTTCTTTTAAACTCAACTTCACAGACAGGAACACTCGTACGCGGAGCACATGGCTCTAAAATGTAGGTGTGTATGTGAGAGTGAGAAAGACAGAGAGAAAAAGGGAGTCAGAGAGAGCGAGAGATAGAGAGAATGAGAGAGAGAGATAAAGGGAAAAAGAAACAGGAAAGAGAGAAGAGAGAGAGTGAGATAGAGGGGGGAAGAGAGAGAGAGAGAGAGAGAGAGAGAGAGAGAGAGAGAGAGACAGACAGACAGACAGAGAGAGAGAGAGAAACAGACAGACAGACAGACAGACAGACAGACATACTGACAGACAGAGAAGAAGGCGAAGAGAAAGACAGACACAGAGTATACGATGCTCCTTCAGGGACACTGATGTTCAGACTCTTTAATTTTGCACGCAAAAATAGTTCTTTTCCCAGGAAGGGAAGTCTAATTTTATTGATGACATCCGTTTTTGACTGGGACGCTGTATGCTATCCATCCCGAATTGACCCTGACAGGTAGGATCAAAGCAGCCTACCCTCTAAAAGATCTTGCTGTGTCTATAACTTAAACACATGCCATAAAAAAGTAAGTCTTTGTTCTTAAACTAACATCGGCGAGCATGGTTCTCCACTTATTCTTATATTCCATCCTCACAAATATGTTTGTATTCTAGTCATTCAAGTGGGCTCACTGTTGCATGCGAGTGAGACTGCAACAGCATACTCAAATAAAGAGAAAAAAGCTCGCCTGTTTTAAAGCAAAAGTAGAATCAGAAACGTCCGAGGACTGCAGTTAATGAAAGTGGGAAATCAAAACCGGCCTCGTTACAAGATAAGGTAAGAAAAGTTAGCTTAGAGGGCGTGTATGCTTCATGAGATCTCGCAGAACAGACACAATAAGACGGTGTCGCATCCAAAAGACTGACTAAAGATCATTTCCTTGCGCTCACTGCTCTAACGAACAACTCTTTTTGGTACGCACTGATTAAATTACACAGTAATTGTGTTTTCAGTATAGACATTAGTATTAATAACATAATAATAATAATAATAATAACAATAATAATAATAATGATAATAATAATAACAATAATAATAATAATAATAATAATAATAATAATAATAATAATGATAATAATAATAATAATAATAATAATAATAATAATAATAATAATAATACTAATAATAATAATACTAATAATGATAAAATAGCACTTGAAGAGCGCAAATTCTCGTTCAACAGAAAGCTTCATGATCTCATATTTTTATTTACGTTAGACTGTAGAAAAAAGAATGCACTGGTACTAGCGTCGGTTGTGAAGGAACAGGATGTACTACTTTTCACTCCCGGCATATGATATGCAAATGATAGAATTGTGTTATCAATAATTAATTATTATTCAGTTGTTGTTTTTTGTTGGGGGGGGGGGGGGTTCAACAGGACTTCTTTGAGAGTTGCTTTATATTATTTACACTCTACTCTACTCTACTAAACTCTATTTACATGTTATATTCATCACAAATCGTAAGCTTGCGTTCCCTTGTCCTTGAAGTTAGGCAACTGTTGGGGATTTTTTTGTTTTTGTTTTTGGTTTGGTTTGTTCGTTTGTTTGTTGTTTTGTTTGTGGGTTTTTTTTTCTTCTCTGTTTTTTTTTTTTGGGGGGGAGGGGGGTGGATATCAAATCCAAATGAATAGCTTACTGAGCTAAAGAGGACGAGAGGAAAAGATGTTGTGATGTAGACAGTCCGTAAGAAGTTCCCTCATTAGTCAATCATATTCATACCAAATTGTGAGTTGCATATAATAATTGTGAGTTTAAGTAAGGAGTTGAATTAATTCAGAATCAGTGAAGTTCAATAATCTTTATTTTTGTGTTTAATTGTATATTATTTATTAGTTTATTTATTTATTTATTTATTTATTTATTATTTATCTATTTATTTATTTATTTATTTATTTATTTATTTTAGTTGGTGGGTTAAAAGAAATATCTATATTATGTTACAAAATCTGGACTTTGGTATTCTTAGTCTATCTGTCTCCATCACGTCAGAATGACTAAACATACATCAAGGGTAAACAATACCATCTCGGGAACTTTTTAATCCTCGGAATTTGTACAGAAACCTCCTCGTGAATTCCATGTAAACATCTGATAAAATGAAGCCCATACAGGTCATTTTTACACACTCACAAGAAACTGAACTCTTTTTCAAGCTCTTTGAGTATCTCCGGCTTTTCCATTTTCCCATGATTCTGGCTCCTCCTCTAATCTTGTCTGAGACTGCGCGCGGCTCGGGCGGTGAGGCGGCGTGAGGCAAACACACACACACACACACACACACACACACACACACACACACACACACACACACACACACACACACACACACACACACACACACACACACACACACACACACACACACGTGTTCTGGTTCGATCTGTCAAGAAAAAGAGAGAGAGCCCGAGTCGGGGTGGTTAGGTTGATGGGTTTGTTGGGTGTTGGGTTTATTTTGGTTTTTTATTTGGGGGGGGGGTTGGAGGGGGCAGATGATCTAAGATAAGTTAGATAGAACCCGAGTCGGGGTGGTTAGGTTGGTGGGGTTTTTTTTAGGGGGGGGGGGAGTGGGAAGATGATCTAAAATAAGATAAGATAAACTTCGTTGGTCCTCGAGGGAGGTTTTGGGCGAATTTACCGAAGCCACAATATTATGCACAGATTCAGCATCAACATGGAAAACAAAACATTACATTTATTTTCAATGACACACAAACAGATACACAAGTCAGTCACACAAGTGTACCTAAACAGCATGTCAATGGGGAAAAAGTCTCTCTCTCTCTCTCTCTCTCTCTCTCTCTCTCTCTCTCTCTCTCTCTCTCTCTCTCTCTCTCTCTCTCTCTCTCTCTCTCTTTCTGGGGGTCTCGTGATCTAGGTGTACGGTGGTCGCCTCATTCAAAAGGTTTCGAAACCGGACTAGACGTTCTCCTCTGAGCAAAATTCTCCTTTTACCACCTTTCCTGCTCTCAAACCATGTTCTGGCGTCTTCTTTCGTCTCCACTTTCTGCCCCCCCCCCCTCTTTGTCCCCTCCTCTGGACTCCTGACTCTTTCGGCAGACTTTCTAGTGCTACCCCTTGACTCCTCCTTACTGCTGTGTTTCAGCTACACCCCTGATTTTAGGCATGGTAAAATCTAACACTTTCTTGGATAAGGGCAAAAGAAAATCTCGAAGGTTCCGTGTGCAAGTTGTGCACGTAAAAGAATCCCCTGGTGGTCCTACAATCGACGAGAATAAGTAGTTTTCAGCCGCCACGCGGGAAGAATTAAAAATTAGTTCCTACCAAACTGTTAATGCTTAATTTGTCCCTCGAGCTCATATGACATTATGCCGTAACGAGTGCCGTAAAACACTGACCAACGAAAAAAACAACAACTTCTCTCTCCCTCCCTCATCTCTCTCTCTCTCTCTCTCTCTCTCTCTCTCTCTCTCTCTCTCTCTCTTTCTCCATCTCTTTCTCTCTCTCTCTCTCACACACACACACACACACACATACATACACACACACACACACACACAAACATACAGTCTTCTCCCTGTCTCTTCTTTACACATCAGACCCACACATTGAGCGTAATCGCATACAAGGAGATCATTCTATATCGTATTGGTCTTCTTTGTTCTCCCTAGTCCGAAAAGGATTTAAAGAAAAAAAATAGAATCTCTCTCAAATTGGTGACAGAACGCATTATCTGGGGAATACTAATTGTATTCACTTCACAAACAATGGAATGTGTGTTGATCAGCTTGACTAGTCTAAGTTCCAAGCAATTAAGTTTTCATTTACAGTGAAGAATAATAATCAGTTTTTGAGTACATGAATGAAACGTAAAACTGTGCCATCTCTTCAAACTCAACCAATAGTGTATTTGTTCTTTGTAGAAGAAATGTAAAATTGACATTCCAAATACACTCAAGGAAGGTGGTAGTTATTTAAGTTGTTTGCTCCATGTGTTAATAAGCTCGAATATGTCACTGAAAATTTTGAATAACCCTTTGGCAAGTTTCTTGGTTAATTCAACATTGAGTCGTAACTGTTCGATTGTTCATTGGCTGCTTCCCTAGAGTTCAAGTTGAGGAAATACTGTAACCATCCATTTGTAAGGTCTCGGTTTATAAAGTGTTACCCAGGCCTTTCTTGCAACCTTGCAAGAGCCACACTGATGCTTGGGATGTGACCCCATCCTGTTAGAATCAGGTCTTTTCAACAGCATAGCACCTTTCCCTCTCCCAACTTTAAAACTATTTTCACACAGTGAGATATCCATCTGGAGTGATGACGATAGTCTTGTTTTTACCTTCCTGTCCTGAAAACAGAATAGGCCAATCACGTCCCGGTAGCTGGATATTTTTGAAAAGTAAAGTTTTGCGTTTAAACCCACAAAACCTGTGTGTGCTGTATAAGGCACTTCAATATTAGACAATGATGTGTAACACCAGTTAGCCGTGGTGGAACTTGGTTCTGTGTTTTCTGTTAGACTAGAACTTATTCTTTGGGAAAAGACCCACTGGAACATCCATTTGAACTTTTTAGAGTTACTTTGTGTGTCCCCATGTTGTTCACTTGACGCTTCTTCTATTTTTACCTGACTTGGTGCTGTTGGATCTTAAGCCATCACATCTCTCAGGTAAGTTCCAGAAAGTTATTGATTGGCCATAAAACAAAAATAATAGAATAGTTTAACTGTATATCTTTGCATGAAATCTATATCGTGAATATTCTAGGCCCTGTGTTTGTTGAAGAAGGCGCGTACCATGTATAGCATATTGGGTATTAGAGGAATCATCAAAAAAAAAGGGGGGAGGGGGGTAAATGAACTGCCTTAGATGTGCCGTATTATGGCACACTGGACGTTAGTGTCTGCCAGGGAATTAATATATAAAGTTTAAACCATTGTCACTATTCTTTAACTTCACAAATCTGCCATTTGATTTTTATAATTAATCCAACTACCCTGTTTGAAATCTTTAATCACTTAATTTGTTCTCTTGTATCGTCTTAACCTGCTTAGAACCAAAACCTGAACATAGCCTGACAGCAAAGATATTGATCTTATTTCAACTGTTGGGAAGCCAATGACTTATATGAAGTGGCGATATACTGCTAAAAAATGGAAAACGAAAGGACCGAAGTTCCCTGTCCTTAAATTGCCATCCTGTACAACTGCTACATGGGTGGCATTGACCTCCTGGATGGACTTGCTTCTCTCTATAAACATCTTCTGAAAACGAGGAAATGGTACATGTACCTTGTTTTTTTTGTCTGAGCATTTCTATCCTTGTCGCTTGGCTCTAGTACAAAAGAGACATTGTGGACTGCTTCACCAGGAGCGTATGAAACTGTCAATTTTTCAAAGTAGCATTGCATCCCCTTGGAAGCAAAATGTGCAAGAACCAGACCAACCATTTCAGACTCAACCACTAAATCAAAACGAGTCAAGAACCAGTGTTCCACCGTCCGGAATTCCAATGTATACAATGTATCATACCCCAGAATGGACTAACATCATGGACCGATGCAAAAACAACTAATGTGGTGTTAGCAGTTTCTTTGCTTGCTTGAAGTGCAAAGAGATAGAAACCTCTCCATGGATTTTCCTTTTAGCATTTAAAATGCGAGGTATAGGGGGAGGGGGGTATGTCAAAGACAAAGTTTATGTTCCACCACATCCAGCAAATATCAATGGCATGAAAGATCGAATAACAGCTACAATCAACACGGTGGGCCGTTTTTGAGGAATTCTCATATCAGTCTTATGTTGTCCGTGGAGCCGGTAGTGGCCACATTGAACATTTTATATTAAAATAAAAACTTAAAGGTATGTACAGCATATGTGTTCAAGCTAGAGTTTTCTATTGTTTTTCGTGTTTGAAATACAGTTTAGGATTTTGGCGAGTTTAGGATTTTGGCGAATTCAATTTTAATCACCCTGATGGGAGTTTCTGTATATTCTCCAACATTGTTGCATATATGGTAAAGGAACAAAAAGCATTGTTATTACTATAACTATCATTCCAACCACGTAGTACAATTCTTAAATTTTTGCTATTTCAACTTAGCGATGTGTGCGTATATTATGACACAATGAGTTTTCAGTGCACAAAAGCATGACGGCACATTTTCAAATTTTGTGTTAAAAAAAAACTACATTAATTTGTCAAAAGTAAAAGCTTTGTCTATCTATTGATGCATTTCTTTGTACCACATCAAAGTTCAGACATGTTTTTACTCTAAAACTAGGTACAGATTCTAGAGGAGAACTCAGTTTTGGTTGAATAGACAAAAACGATATTTTTCAAACAAGTTAATTGGGTTCATGTTAAAATATAATAGCCTCCACTTGGTTAAATTTCATTAAAAAATCTATTTTTTTAAAAATTGGTGCAAATACCACACAGTCATCATCCTTTAAATGGGTCATTCTTTTAGACACCCTTTATGTGTATGGGATCAAGTTTTTTTGTTGTTGTTTTGTTTGTTTGTTGTTGTTTTTTGGGGGGAGAATAAGAGAAATGGAGAAAGGGAGAGCGAGAGAGAGAAAGAGAGAGAGAGAATGAGAGAGAAAGAGATAGAGAGGGGGGGAGAAAGAGAGAGACAGGTGGCCAGAGAGAGAGAGAGCGAGAGAGAGAGAGAGAGAGAGAGAGAGAGCGAGAGAGAGACAGAGAGAGAGAGAGGGGGGGGGTGAGGGGGGGATATTTGTTCGTGTTCGGATGTAAGTTAGGGAGAAAGAACGGGTGGAGGGGAAAAGAGGACACACACGGGCAAACAACTACACACACAGACATGCACACAAACACAAACAGAGAGAGAGAGAGAGAGAGAGAGAGAGAGAGAGAGAGGGAGAGAGAGAGGGGGAGAGAGAGAGAGAGAGAGAGAGAGAGAGAGAGACAGAGAGAGAGAGCGACAGACAGACAGACAGACAGACAGACAGACGGACGGACGGACAGACAGACAGACAGACAGACAGACAGGCAGACAGACACTGGTAGATACATAGAAAGAAAGGAAGATGGATTGAGAGAGAGGGGGACGGATGGAAAGAGAGAGGAGAGACATAGGGAGAGAGAGAGAGAGAGAGAGAGAGAGAGAGAGAGAGAGAGAGAGAGAGAGAGAGAGAGAAAGGCATAAAACGTGTTAATAAGGATCCAAGTACTTTGCTTTTACTTTTTTCCTTCCTCTAGTATCCTTAGGATGTCGAGGGGAGGTGCAAATGTTGGTCCTGTGTTAGGTAT